GTTCGTTTAAGTTTTTACTTCAGTTCAGCGCACTCATTTACTTTTGAAATACTCACATGTTCTTCTCCCTCCTCTGCGTGGGTCTGTTGACAGAAGAGATAAGACAGTATTAGAGACTTTTACCTAATATCGCACACATGACACGTTCTGATTATTCGTACTGAGACACACAGTATTCACAGATCAGGAGCGGGACCCTACTGACACACCTTTACTAGAACAGGTACAAGTGAAGTGATATGCAGTGCAATGTGGGATGAATCATCATGACAAACTGTAACACTGTCATCACCAAAATTCAGAAGGAGGTGACAAATGGAGGGAAATTGAAAACAGACAGAAACCCAAAAAAAACATAGCAGAAATGCAATAATAAAAAGGTTAAAAGTCCAAAGGTGCTGAAGGGACATTACAGGAACAGGAATGATGCACACTGAGTTAGTAAATAAATCAATTAAGGGAGAGAGAGAGACTTAAGGAGGAGAAGCAGTGCAAAAAGGACAGGAGCTTAAAAAGGAGGCAAACCCTTGATATGAAGGAGAAAGGTAACATTAAAGGGAACGGTGAGGTACTGAGGGGAGGAAAAACAGCATTCCAGGAAGGATGAGATGTGGAGGAAAGACATAAAAAAACATTCAATAATTGGAGGGAGAAATGAGAAGATGAGAGCTTGGATACTAGTTAAGTGGCAGCTGTCTTCTGTGACCTTGTGTGCATCTTCTACTATCTCCTCTTCCTCCTCTGCAAGGGCTTCGTCTCCTGCTGTTTCTCCTTCGGTGCCTTCATCATCATCAGTCTCTCCTTCTGCTACCTCCTCTTCACAACCCTCACCTTCCTCCTCCTCCTCATCAGCTGCCTGCTGCTCCTCTCCGTGTGCATCCCCATTACGCTCCTCCACTGGGACCTCCTTATTGTGAGGTGAAAATAACAAGGTGTGATCAAGGACAACAAATGATATAAAACAGCATCAATTGGAATGGTTCAGAAAGTTAAAAGATAGGTGTTAGTCAGTCTTAGAAATAAAGTGGAGGTGTTAGTATTTTGGATAAAAAAAAAAATTGTAATGATGTATCATGAATTGCCATAAGTAAGAATTGTAGGGTAGTATGAAGCTACAGACAGTTAGCTTAACACAAAGACAGGAGACAAAGGGAAACCGCTAGCTTAGCTCTGTCCAAAGAGAGCAATATTCTCCGTCCAGCACCTCTTAAGCTGAGCAATTAAAACATTTATTTCTTGTTTGTTTAATCTGTACAAATGACAAAATGTACAGCCACACACTGTAAATAAGCAAGAGATGTTAATTAGGAGCCTTAAACGTTCTGGTGGTTGGAGTTTCTTATCTTTGGACATAGTCAGGCTAGCTGTTTCCATTTGTCTCCAGTCTTTGTGCTAAGCTAAGCTAACCCTCTGCTGGCTGGAGCGTCACATTTAGCATACAGATATGAAAGTTGTCCTTTTTTTTTTTTTTTACAGTTCTGTGCCAGAAAGCAAATAAATGTATTTCCCACAATGTTGGACTCTTCCTCAAATCAGTCTAGTCAACAGCATTCAAAACATAATCAGCAAATGAGGGGCAACTGAACAAATAGCAGCAAAAATGAATTCAGTTTTGCACTTCCTTCATAAAGCACTGCATTAATAGTAGGGAGATTCTTTTGGGAAGAAAATTGCCAGAAAGTCACTGGAACCAAAAAGACAAACTTATTTTTAATAGTGTGCATTGAACTAAATCATACTTAGTAAACTGCTTACTGTAGAAAAGACTATGATCATGATGCGTCTCAATGAATGTGTCCGAACACAGTAGTGATGCAATGTTATGAGAACTCAATATATCATGCAAAACACCAAACGATTAGTCCATGTGATGACGGGGAAAGGGTGGCCAAAGGGAAATTAAGAGCCTGTTCAAGTTGACAAAGTTTTTACAGGAGAGAAACTGTTAGGTTGTGCTAGATGAAAAGGAAAAGGTGAGACTGTGAAAGGAAACAAGGTGTGAAGGGTTGAAAGGAAGAACAGCATTACTGTGGAGTCATCAAATATTCCCTCTGCATTAGAATCCTCAGCTCGGGTTCCATTCTCCACAATGTGCACCTTGTCAGCCTGTTCTGCTTCCTGTGTCAAGGACATGATCAGGTTTAATATAATAGAGAATCAAGGTGTAAAACGCACTGCTTGGATCAACAACCAATACTGATGCTACAGAACGTTAGCAGCCACTCTAGATTAGCTCGAGCCAATTCACTATCTTGAAAAACGTTAAACACACCATATCAGTCTCAACATGTCTAATAGTAAAATTAAGCCCACCTTAGCCTTAAGTATGCAGGTTTCAGGGGCTATAACCTTTCTATTTCTCACCATAGATGTGAAGGAAAGTCCCATTTTACTACAATGATTTAAAAGTGTACATTGTTTGTGAAATGCCCTTATAGAACCCTGAAATACTCTGGTGAGATGGTGTGATTCCTCCAGCAGATTACACTTAATGTGCTTTATCTGTAATTTATGCATTTTTCTGTAGGTCTGACAGCATGATTACTATATGTACAGTAAGTTGTGGAATCTGTTATTCTTAACAGTATTATGGACTATGTAATATTGCTTGAAAGTGCTCGTAGACCATTCTGGATGTAATGTAACCTGGGTTTTGCTGTCTTATTGTGTCCTTTTACATGACACAATAATAAAAACTTCATCATATACAGCTATTTGACAGGTGTTCATTCCAAACCCATTACAGAGCTGTAAAGTCATTTTAATACCCTGATGACGGCTTATCACTGTGATGAACTCAGTTGATTACAACATTTTTAATGACATTTTTGTGCCAGGGTTTAATTAGTTCTGTTATACTAGTGGATAAAATCCTAAAGGGGATATCTTAACTGACAAAATCTTCACCTAACAATGGATCACAATCCCACATCATATTCATTACATTGCAGAATGTAACTCGAATTTGTTCTACAGGGTTTAAATAACCTGAAGGATTATATATAACCTGAGCTATTTGGTTAAACAAACAACACTACTGATAGCATTCCAATGCAGATTAACTCCCTGGCATAGGAGTAAAACAAATTGGATTTTTTTCCTACAGTATTAAAAAGAAACTCATTCAAACCTTTGAGCCAGGGGGAGGAGGTAGCCCCAGGAAGGCATACACTGAGTTATCCTCCTTGGCATTGAAGAATGTGTCATAGTCCTGTGTGGGGGGGGAAAGGGAAAACATGTTTTAGCAATTCACCATGTCTTCTGTTCCTATAGTACTTATCTAGTGTCTGCACTTAATGGAGCATGCAGGTTATATAACTGCATATACAGTAAAAATCGATGTGTTTTGACTAGAAGAGCAGCAACTACGGCAATCAATAGTGTGCAAGGAAAAGTTAATTTATTAAATTTATTTACAGATCCTATCCGTCTACTTTATTGTTGTCTATACGTGTATGTTATGTTTCTGCTGAGGCTCCCATATCTGAGGATGACATCAGGAGCTTCTTAATAAACACAGGTCTATGGCACAGTGAATCATCGCTGTGCATATACTCACCCCACAGTAGCTCTCTTCATTGAAGATCTGGGGAGGCAAGGGGATACCGTTGGCAGGCTTCTTCTCTTCTGGGACATTCTGCCTCATCCACATGCGGTTCTCCATGTTGCAGGCGATGTCCAGTTGAGTGTAGTCCACTTTAAGAGCTTCCAAGAAGGCGACCACATCTTGTTGCTTCTTTTTGATCTGGAAAGCAGAAAAAAAATATTTAAGTGTTAAGGAATTAGCGCTGATTGCATAGTATGTAGGGAGAAGCTGTTCATATTTCACTTAAAAGATTAAGAAAGTGGAACTTGGAACAGAGAAATGAGTGATTAAATGATTGTAAATATGACATAATAGGTTCAAATCTGGTACATAACACTCCTCTCTTGTCCCGTTGCCTGTCCTATCAAATAAACATAGCCTACAGTGCCTTGCGAAAGTATTCGGCCCCCTTGAACTTTGCGACCTTTTGCCACATTTCAGGCTTCAAACATAAAGATATAAAACTGTAATTTTTTGTGAAGAATCAACAACAAGTGGGACACAATCATGAAGTGGAACGAAATTTATTGGATATTTCAAACTTTTTTAACAAATAAAAAACTGAAAAATTGGGCGTGCAAAATTATTCAGCCCCTTTACTTTCAGTGCAGCAAACGCTCTCCAGAAGTTCAGTGAGGATCTCTGAATGATCCAATGTTGACCTAAATGACAAAGGATGATAAATAGAATCCACCTGTGTGTAATCAAGTCTCCATATAAATGCACCTGCACTGTGATAGTCTCAGAGGT